CAGTTATCTTGTAAAATGTTGCACATTTTGGATTATACTATTTGCTTCATTGTGTTTTCTTTTGTTTTTTATTGTCTCATTCTTTTTATTATGTATTTCAAAATGTGGACATGGATTAAATATTTTAAAGATTTTGATGGCATAGATTGTGTGTTTGAGTTTGTGTGCGTGTGTGTTTATGTGTGCCTGTGTCTGTGATGTTATTAATGAGAACATGTAAAATTAAATTTTTATGTGCTGGACAACCTATGCTTCAAGGTGGTCCTGGTTTTGCAGGCTTTCAGCCAATACCTCATTTCACACATGTCATCTTGGCAGTGCACAAACCCTCCAACCATGGCGTGCAAATAAATGCATGTAACATCCTGAGTAACATGAGTATTCTGTGTGAAATAAAAATTCCAGATCATGGTAAGGACCTTTTTTATTTTCAATCAACTGTGGGTATTTTTTGCTTGTGTGTTTGTTTTAGGAATCTATGAGTTGTAAATTTCAATTGGTGAAAAGAAGGACTGGAGCAGGAAAACAAACTAAAAATATATTTGTTATGTTTGTCAGAAATGCTTTCTTCTAGTCTCATTTTAAATTTGCTCTGCTGGGTTCTTACTACTTTTTGTTTGTTTGTTTTGGTATCCAAACCTGCAATTGCAGTTTAAAGGCAAAGGAGTGGTTTCATCATTCATTCTTAGCTGAAATAAAGCACATTCAATAAAGTAGTCTCCAGGTTTTTGTCACCCAGAATATAAATATCTAGATGTAATATATGGTAATGAGAATTTTTTCAAGTGAAATTATTTTTTAAGTTTAATAATAATAACTTGGGCCTCCTGACTTCAGTCTCCTCATTTACCAATCTCTCCCTCAAGGTGAATCTGGAGCAATGTCACTGAAACACAGTTCTGTTTATGTTGTAATTACTCACGTTATTATTATGATTATCAAGCTTCAAAGGCTTCCTATTTTCCTACTGAGTAAACGCAAAACACCTTCCACCCAGGAAATCAAACAATCCATAAGCTGATCAAAGTCTACCTTTTCAGACACACTGCTCCCTCACAGTTTCTTGAACTCAGCCACACTACATACCTGTTTCCTCAAAGTTGGCCA